TGGTGAGGAACTGACCCTGTGGTCACAAACTTTTCGGTGGGTGCCACCCAGGTATCTCACGGTGGAATGGACATTGACTCGGCGTGAGCTGGTCAGACAGTAGAGAGAAGTGGAGTTGGGGAGGGAGATGGAGGATCTCTGTTGTGCATCAGGGGTTCCATCGGGCTATGCAGGGAGGTGAGGGCGTTAATGCGTCTGGTGGAGGAAAAGACCTCAAGGGTCGCTCCAATTAGGGGTGTGTGCGAGATGTGGTTGGCGCGGGTCTGAGCCACACCATTGAGGAAAGTGGGGTGCCAGTCACTGCGTCTTCTAGTGCAGTCCACATTTTGGGCTCGGTGTGAAGGTGCCAGTGTAGCACTCTAGTGAGGTGTGTGGCTTGGTAGTATAGGAACATGTCTGGTATCTCTAGACCTCCATTGCTCTTAGATGTTTTGAGTTGGGACCAGGATATGCTAGGTCGGCTGTCATTCCACACAAAGGATGAGAAAATATTGTCCAGTGTGCGGAAGAAGGAGCGAGGCAGTTTAATAGGGATGGTTTGGAAAAGATAGAGAAGTTGGGGAAGAACATTCATTTTCAGTAACGCTGCCCTTCCAAACCGTGAGAAAGTGTGTAGTCTCCAAGATCTGAGATCATTTCGGATTGTGTCGCTCAGTGTCGCAAAGTTGGAGTCATAGAGTCGGGATAGTTCTGAGGGGAGTTTAATACCTAGATATTGGATATGGTCAGAGCGCCATTGGAAGGGGAAGGAGGTTTGGAGACGTGTTTTTATGGCGTGTGATATATTGAGGGGCATAATTTCAGATTTAGTGAAATTTATTTTTAGGTTGGACATTGTTCCGTAAAGTTCGAAGTTGGTCATCAGGCGCGGTAGCGAAGTCAGGGGATCTGTGAGGACAAATAGTAAATCGTCAGCGTATGCCATCGTCTTGTGGATCGTGCGGCCTGCCTTGATGCCCGAGATCTCTCGGTCTCTTTGTACAGTACGGATGAACGGTTCCAGGACCAGAGCGAATAGCGTGGGAGACAACGGGCATCCTTGTCGGGTCCCGTTGGTTATTGGGAGGCTGTCCGATATGCATCCCATCGCCCTAACTCTGGCCCTGGGACAGGAATAGACAGCCTGTATCCAGTGCAGCATTCTGTCCGGTAGACCCACATGTTTGAGGACTTCAAACATAAAGTCCCAGGCCACCCGGTCGAATGCCTTCTCCTCGTCTGTGGACAGCACCGGGGCTTGTAATTTCTGTTGTTTCACCCAATGAATAAGGTTGAACGTGGTCATCTGCAGTTGGTACTAGGGGAGAGATGCATAAGTAGGGAATAGTGCTGGGTGTTCGGGTGGTCTTGCTATCTGGAAGAAGGGGGCCTGGTGAGTGTCCGTCGGTGATGGGTTATTTCGCCAGCTTGAGGGGCAACAACGTGAACCATGGAGTCCACCCTGGGGAGTCATCAGTGAAGCTGACTCCCTCTGCTGCCGGGATCCTCTGAGTGGGGTTGCGATCCATTACCTCGCGTTGGCGATCTCCGTGTCTTGCTCCGTTTCGGGTCCGAGGAGGTCGATGGTGAGATGTGCCGGTGGGATGAAGCAGATGGGCGCGGTGGGGACTGACGCCTCTCCCTCCGGGGCTGGGGAGTAGGCCGCAAGTTCTCATACCAGTCCTGGATAGCGACTGGGGGCAGGTCTAGCATGGAGCAGAATGGTTCCAGGTCTTCAGGTGTGCGCAATATAGCAGTTTTGCTTCTGTGCGTGGCTGAGAGGCAAAAGGGGAAGCGCCATCTGTAAATGATCCCATGATGACGGAGGCACTCTAGTAAGGGACGCAGGGCCCTGCGTTGCTGTAGTGTGTGTAGGGAGAGATCCTGGAAGAGCTTCACCTCCACTCCCACATGGAATACCGCTCCGCTGCGTCTGGCCCATTGTAGTATGTCTTCCTTCAGTGGGAAACTCTGGAGACGGCAAATGATGTCGCGAGGCATGTCATCCATCGCATTTCTAGGCCTTAGGGCGCGGTGTGCTCTCACGAATTCAATCGGAGAGTCCAGAGGCCTCTCCAGCAGGTCATTGAAGAGCTGGAGTAGGTGGGTACTGCGTCCGGCAATATGGATTCTGGAAGCCCACGGACTCTTATGTTGGACCTGCGGCCTCTGTTGTCCAGGTCCTCTAGTTGGCGTCTCATGTTAATGAGGGAGTGAGTGGTAGAGTCCTGGTGCGAGCGGAGTCTGCTGAGGGCGACATCTCTAGCCTCTCCTGCACGTTCCACTACACTCAACCTCTTGCCAATATCGCGGATGTTATCCCGCTGCTCAATCACCGCTGTGTACAGGGTTTCTTTAATATCCTCTGCAATGGAGGACAGGTCGGACCGGGTCGGTAAATGCTTGATATAGGAATTTAAGGAGTCGTCTGCTGGGTCGGGGATCGGGGCCTGGGCCTTGCGGGAGGATGTCGACGCCATATTGGGAGGTGCCGTCTCAGGGGCATCGTGGCGTTGGGAGCGAAATATCTCCGGTACCTGCATGTTTTGCGGATTTTGCGAGTTCCCTTTTGTGGGGGGCACTTTCGTCGGGGGATATTGCGGGCCGATCTTCCCCATGTCGTCTTCGGGAGCGATTCAGAAGCTAATTTTGGGTGCAGACGGGCAGGAGCTCTGAAATTAGGCTGCCATCTCGCTTGCCGCGGAAACCACGCCCCAACTGGTTGCTGCTTATCAGTGATCAGTAAGAAAGGCATCATGGCCCCCCTAAGTGTAAGTCCACTAAAGGTGTTTACAGAACTAGTATTTACAAGTATCTCAAGCTTAAATTTATACCTAGAGGTTTATGAAGTGGAACAACTTATTCTTGCCTAGATAATGTGTGCAGTGTTTCAATTAGATAAAGTGTCTTCCAGCAAACTACAGTTTTGCTCCACCCTTAGAAAACTCATAAAAGGTCTGAATTTTGTGTCATTGGTGCACCATATACTATGTTTATTTGTGAAAAACAGGATTTTTTTTTCTTACTGTAAAATCCTTTTCTCAGAGTCCATTAAGGGACACAACTCCTGAAGAATCTGATACGTAGGTTCAAAGGAGAAGTGAACACTACGCAAACAAAAATGAAAACATCTGCCACTTTAAAGGACATAACCCTTCACACCTGCACCATCTATCACAATTCCTGGTCACTTAAAGAGAACTCAAACTCCAAGCAAAAGCAAAAAAACCCAGAGAGGAGTCATCAGATATAAAAATAAACAGCCAAAGGTTATCATAAAAAGGAGGGAAAACATCCATCCCATAAATACAGTTTAGGCCCCGTTCCCACTGCGCGATTTGCATATTGCGCGAGATTTGCCGCGCGATGTCACGTTCAAGCTTGCATTGAGCAATTGGATTGCATTGGAGCGAGATATTGCGGGAATTACCGCGCGATAAATCGCTCAATGTGAACGGGGTCTAAATACATATTATGATTCCATGGCCCTGGTCCATTTACAATAACATGAATCCCAAAATATACTGGCCTGACCTTACATAGTATTTGGGGCTGAATAAAGACATACGTCCATCAAGTCCAACCCATATAGGTCCACGCATCATCTCATTCTTAGGGATACTGGTATCCCTGGATATTACGGTCCCTCAAGAAATTGTCCAAACGTTTCTTGAACAAATCTACACTCTTGGCTGAAATCACTGCCGATGGCAGTGAGTTCCAGACCTTAACCGCTCTTACTGTAAAGAACCCTCTTCGCCCATTGTGCTGGAATTTTTTCTCCACCAACTTTAGGTGGTGGCCTCTAGTCTTTGTAATGGAGTTAATCTCAAACAGTTTGTTGCCAATGTTGCTGTCACCATTGAACATCTTGTACATGAAAATCATATCCCCCCTTAATCTCCTCAATTCCAGCGTAAACATGTTTAAGGCCACAAACAGCAAAGACATTTAAATGTTAAAATGATAAAGTATACAGATTTATTCTTTCACGCAAATAATAAAAAACACTTGTTTTAGAACTCCATATATTTGTTTTCTGTAACCACCCCTTACAATTTGGGGAGGTCCTCCAAGAACAGATACAAATGCTAAAGTTCACATACCATTTTTATTGTAACATACTGAAATATCATTCCTTGAGTACTGGAACTGAAAAGAAGATAACTTGTTTTATCATCATACAGGGAAATCCAGTTTTTTGGCGACCAGTGGCACGATCCACCTTTGCTTTGATGTCCTTTTTACCCACTGCCACACTGCTAGAATAGTAATGAAGTCAAGGGGCATTCGGGACATAGTTTGATGCTTCACTGTGATTAAATAAATAGATACATTTAATCTACTTAAGTCATTTGGCATTAACTAATTTTTTTTTCAAAGACAATCAGCACATTTTCAGAATCCTTTTTGAAAGGACATTTCTTCAAGAAATAGACCTAAAGATAAGGATGCATCAGCATTGAAGAAATCATATTTTCAGGTATATATAATATATATTTACACAATAAAAAAATTTACTTACTGTATTTTAAGTAAAGTGGCACAAATTGCAAGAGTTATGGGCCCTTGCTGAATGCTTATAAAGTACAAACTTTTTTTCATTAAGTGGTGGCAGAAAAAAAACAAAAACGTCCTATTATTTGCAATGCCTCCAACATGGTGAACTCATGGATGGATTTAAAGGGGGAAATATACAGAAAAAGAAAGTGTTATTAGAGACAGGTAGCAGAACATAAACAAAAAAGTTGAACGTAAGAGAAGAAAGAGGTTTCCATTTCATGAAGTGATCAGAGACTCAGACTTGATAAAGAACTTCTGAAGCGATGAGACATTTTATTGCATTGTCATTGGCTTCTCTACTTGGTCTGTGTATCTCCAAAGTTCATTGTCTTGTTATCGCCACAGTATAAAATTGTAAGCTTTCCTGTCGTGGACTTCATGAAGATCATACTCTAGTTACACAATATGGATTGTGTGGGAGTATTCTAGCGCATGTGAAACCTGACAATCTTATTGTTCAGTTAATTGAGCAGACTCTTCAGAATAGCCAAACAGTTATATGATCAGAGAGGAAAACAACAGGAAGAGCAATTTAAAAATAGAGAATGGGAAAAAACATCCAAATATATTACAAAACCCCTTTCATGAGTGTTGTTGGACAAAGGCACCTCAATGCTCACATTAAGAAATGTTTTAGATCCGATTTTTGCCTGTCACCAGTATAATAGAAGGAAAGTAGAATGTGGTCTTAGAGCAGCTTTGCACATCAGATTCCATGGCAGAGGAACAGTTATAATCAACATCCTCTAAAAGCACTGCAGTTCAAAGAATGGGTACTTTATATTACACCAGAAATACATTGGCGCCCTTGTAAAGACCATGTTGGTGAGAGACTGGTCATTCACTTGTAACCAGTTTTTGGTTGTCGACGCATCCTTGCTGCTTTGGTGGCTACATGAATTGCATCTGTTCACAGAAAAAAAATAAAAAGGGGTCAATAAGTGATCAAGAAATTCTATTGAATAATTACTATGAAATCTATATTGCAGGTTATTAGATCATTGTGGTACAAGGATTTCATGGGTTATATATTTAGACACATGCAGGCTTATTCAATGATGCAGTGTAAAGAGCAAAAGCTCAAAGTAACCAATACAAATTGGCAGAGCTTTGTCAATGGTAAATGGATTGTGATTGGCTGATATGCCATAATTCATGCAGACACACCAGTTTATAACAAAGTCCTTTGCAATACACCCATCAAACATGCAGATAAAAGTAACCTAGAGAGATTTTATTATTATTTTTGAAACGCTTCATGACTGAGCTTTTTTTCAGTTTCTGTTCGTTAATGATTGATGCTTTTTTTTAAATTTTTGCTGTGCGATTCTTTCACGTCAGCAATATACTTTTTTGCTAAGTGCACCCACACATATTATATATTGTTTTTTAGGGGACAGATAGGGCTTTATACTTCGATCACATTTGTGATACGGAAGGAAACACTTTTTCCCTAGTTTTGATTCTTTTTTAGAAAAATAGCACAACTAAAAATAATGCATGAAAATACATTAATTCATTTATTTGTCCTTTATTTGGAAACACCTCACACCCCTAGGATTTCAGAAAACTTTCTGTACTTCTCAGCCAAAAACTAAAAGCTAACATTCTATTTTTTCCCCCCTAAAAGCTTAGTCACCTGGTATACAATGTCACGGTCATTAAGTGGTGACATTGACATACTTTGAACATCGCCGTCATGAGGGGGTTAAATACATTTTAAAAAGTAACCCCTTAGGGTGAAAAACATATCTGCAGCTCAGAGGGGATAATTTTTATAATTATATAAAAATATTTTCACACTGTACTTTTTTCACATTTTTTACACTTTTATTTTTTAATTATAACAAGCAGTCATTGTGAATGAATCCCACTATGACTGCTTGATAATTTAATTAATACATTTTTGGTTATTATTAGGCTCCTCCAAAACTTAGGGACAGCCAATAATAGCAACCGTAGTGAGACTGATCCTTACATCTTGATCCTGCAGCATTTCAGGATCAGATGTCACTAAAGGCTTCAGATCGTTCCCACAAATCTCAGAATTTCTATTCTTAGACATTTAGCAAAAACCCGGCACACATCAGGATTTCCCGATCTGTACCAGCTGTCAAACAGTGACAGCAAGTGCGGTAAATATTGCACTGCTATCACTATCCGACACCCAATTCCGAAAAAGGGATCAGGTGCCTGTAAAAGCTCAACTCTTTCATTAATGAATGCCTCAATACTGACGTACAGTGTACGTCTCCCATCACGAACAGGTTAAAGCTCAATTCCAGGATTGTAGAAAAATTTACCCTTGCAGTGGAGCCCCTGCCGTGCATGGGTTAAAATGCTCCTTAAGGTGAAGCTAAATTTAGGATTAAATCTTAAAAATGCATTCAAGTACCCTAATAACAAAAATGTATCATTCGGCTGTAGATCCTCAAATCATCTCTGAATTGGTGCCGACACCGTCCTTCCTTTTGGAGGGTGGCTTCTTTTGTTCCCCATGGTCCCTGTGTGCGTAGTAAAGTAGCAACCATTACAAACTCTCTCACATGATGGACTACAATCTGATGTTTACTTTAGATTAGATTGTAGTATATCACGGGAGCAAGCTTGGAGCGGTGGCTGCGTTACAACACACACGGAGACCATAGAGAACAAAAGAAGCCCCCCTCTAAAAGGAATGACAGTGTCAGCACCAATTCAGAGGTTTGAGGATCTACACATAAATAATGCACAAATAAGATACATTTTTGTTAATGATTAAGGTACCTAAACGCATTTTTAAGATTTAACTTCTGAGTTTAGTGTCACTTCAAGGGGCTTTGGAGGAATCGGTTGAACAGATAAAGGGAGCCTGCCAGAGCAAGAAATAAGGTAAATATTGCACCTTATTCCTCGAGCTAATGAGCTCCACTGCAAGGGTAGTTTTGTTCTTCCTAAACTACTGTGGTCATTATTTCAATGAAGTGATACTTACCTGAGCTCCAGTCACAGGTGCAAATGGATTTGTTTGTCTTATTCCAGGCTGTGTGTAAAGAATTGGCTGAGGAACCATGAGAGGATTTGCCCCAATCTGTGTAGGAACCTGAAAAAAAATAAGAGAAAAATCATATGAAAACTTTGAGCCACCATTCAGTATGGATAAAGCCTTATAAACATCCCCTGCAGGGTAAATAGACAATTCCTTACACAGTGCATATAGATAAGCATATAGGTAGTTGATATTTATGTTAAATACTGATCTCAGGTCTAACATCTTGTGGCAGTCTAAATGTACTGCGTCTATTTTTGTAATAATATATATTTTTTTTAAAACAAACAAAAATCAGGAGTGATCCCTGCACATAGTAAGATGAAATATGCCTAGGTGCACTACCCAAAATAAATGGTATATTCACAGAGAAAGAAAGGCACTACCAGGACGTGAGAGGAGCCACTGTGTGCAATTCAAAAGATTCCCAAACATTTGCTACGGCACAGCCATGAGGAAGGTGGGCTGTGCCCCGCTGAAACAGATGCTCAGTAAATTCATTTGAATTGCACACTGTGGCTCCTCTCAAGTTCCTCACTTTGTCTTGAACGGAGTGGCATATATTGGAGCAGGTAACGCAAAGAGAGTATTCACCCTCTTGTTATGCCGGTATTTTTTTTTTAAACCGGTGTAGTCCACTTAGAAAAAAAAAAACCCTGTAAAGTGAACCAAAAAAGTGAATAAATGTTCCTACCATTCCATACACAGGCACTTGTGGTGTTGGTACTGGATAGGTCATTGGTGGAGGAGCCTTGACACAAAAAAATTAAATACAATTAGTGACAATAAAGCTTCATTTTTTATATATAGGAGGCCCACACTTGTTAAAATCTTTTTTTTTTTTAGTGGGTCACTGCAGCGCTCTCCCCCGCCTACGTCAGCTAAGCTGCTGCTGCGAAGGCACCTGCGCGTGCACAGCCATGACCGCAAGTAGCTGTGTGTGTCCATAGACGCACACAGCCCTGCAGCAGGCCATGGCCCTCCTCTCCACCCAACAGTTTGATGACAGAAGGAGCCTTTGGCTCTTCTACCCTCAGTATCCTACTACGCAACCAGGAAAATCGGGGAATGTAGGATCAGGTGGTGGCGACGTGGGACACAAAAAGGTAGTGGGTATTTTTTTACCTTAATGCAGAGAATGCATTAAGGTAAAAAAAACACCCAGCCTTTAGTACTACATTAAGTGTATTATGTTGTACAACAGGGGTGTGGAATTCCTATCGCCCGACGCCCGGGGCAGGCAGTTTCGGGCGCCGGGCGTGTAGTTCCTTTCTACATTTAGCCCGGCTGTGGGCAAGCAGCACGCCTAAATGTAGTGTGGGAGCCGTTTTGTACAAGTGATTTTAAACGGCTGTAAAGCCGTCCAAAAATCACTCGTAACCTGCCGGAATCACGCTTCTCCTCCCCCCTCTCTATCTCCAGCGGCCAGCGTGTGCTGCTCCCGGCTGCCTGTCTCTCTGCACCTGGGCTTCCTTTTTGCTGTAGTCTTCGGGGTCCCCCCCTCTTGTGGGGGTTCCAGAGCACGGAGCATGGCAGAGAACGGTTCTCTACTCTGCTCCATGTGTGTAGTGACACAGGAATGCAGCCTTCCTGTCGCAGGAGAAATAGCACAGTGCTGTGCTAGAACTCCTGTGTTGGAGGTGACAGGGTCAATAAAGAGAACCTGTCACCTCCAAAAGCTGTTACCCTTGTGTGATAGCAATAAAAGTCAAGTGAAAAAAAGTAAAAAAAAAAAATATATAAAAACACTATAAATGTAAACATAAAATTGGAAAAAATAAAAATGTAAATACATAAAAATGGAAGAAAAAAAAAGGCAATAAAGTTAAAAAAAAATAAAAAAAATATTACAAAGCAAAAAAAAGTAAAATAAAATCTAAAAAATTAAAACCAATCCCCCATCATCTGCATCCGAATAAACGCATGCAAGGGGCATTGTGTGTGTGAGAGGAGTGGGCGATCCGTTACCACACGGATGGCCAGGCGGTCACAGAATCGCACACCACCGCCGATCACGCTGGCAGTGAAATTATTGTCTAATGGCAACCCAGTCGCGCAAGGCAGATTGCGCTGTTTCCGGCCACAATAACGCCCGTGCAATCGCACATAATCGCGATTGAAAACATTCAGAGATTACCATGCGGATGTAACCCCATTGAAATCAATGAGGCCGCGAGGCAACCGCACACGGCCTTGCCCCAGTCTGCACCAGCCCCAAACAGTAAATTCACTTTCACAAGTGATTTGGAAAAATTGAATTACCCGCACAAATCTCCCCCCGCTATACTTACCTTTCAGGGAATGGTCCTTCCCATCCGCCAGTATGGGTGTACTATCGTAATCTGAATTTCGCTCTCAAAATTCAAGCACTCGTTGGTCAGCGCAGTCATCTGACGGCACTGACCAACGAGAAGCTGTTCTTGACATTGCTAAATATGGTTAAAAAAATGTTTATTTTTTTTGTATCAGGACAAGTAGATTGTCATACGGGACAAGTAGATCAGGCCCCCCGCTTTAGTCCTTGGACAAGTAGTTATTTTTTAAAATTCCACACCGCTGTACACTGACTATTTTCAGCAATTCTGCAAGGAAATAAATGTATACATTATACAAAACAAAAAAACACAAACTCCTTGAAAGTCTTCATCCAAAACAATTAAAATGTTTTCAGCAGAGAAAAAGTGAATAAGTCATGGTTTTGCTAATATTTTGGTGTTCTATGATATAGAATGTGCAAAAGGGACATTTCAGTAAACAAAAATTGAGATGATACATGGACTGCACTAATAGTGCCCTTCTAGGCAAATCGAACTACCTTCATTACTAATTAATTGGTGACCAAAAGGGAGGTACATTTTTGCCAAAAGGTCAGACAATCAGGCAGCAGCTCATATAGATTTGGAGTGATGTCCAAACTTACAATTTTTGGCTGTTCACGATTATGTAGGTCCAAGGACAATCACCCAGTGTATTCTGCATAAACTACCAACAGTCATAGCACAGCATGAGTAGTGTGGAAGCTTAAGTGTACCTCCTCCTAATCAATCAGTAAGGAGCAGCAGAGTCAGAATCTAGACTGTTTACATAATAGATTGGTACATACGCCGATCAGCCATAACCACTGAGATGTGAAGTGAATAACATCATCTTGTTACAATGTCTCCTGGAAGTGGGTGGGATATATTAGGCAGCAAGTGAACATGTTGTCCCTGAAGTTAATGTGTTGCAAGTAGAAAAAATGGGCAAGTGCAAGGATTTGAGTGACTGTGGCAAGGGCCAAAGTGTAATGGCTAGACAACTGGGTCAGAGCAACTCCGAAACTGCAGCTCTTGAGGGACGTTCCTGGTCTGCAGTGGTCAAGACCTACCAAAAGAGGTTCCAAGGTGAACCAGAAACAGGGTCATGAGTGGCCAAGGTTCGCTGATACACATTGGGAGTGAAGGCTGGCCCATGTAGTCTGACCCAATAGAAGAGCTCCTGTAGCTCAAATGACTGAAAAAGTGAATGCTGGTTCCGATAGAAAGGCATCTGAACACACAGTGCATCGCACTTTGTTGTGTATGGGGCTGCGTAGTCAGAGACCGTTCAGGGTGTCCATGCTGACCTGTGTCAACTGCCCAATGATGAATCGCATTTTCTTTTAGATCATGGGGATGGCTGACTGCATGTGTCACTTACCTGGGGAAAAGCCAAGCACCAGGATGCACTTTGGGAAGAAGGCAAGCTGGCAGAGGCAGTGTTATGCTTTAGGTAATGTTCTGCTGGGAAATCTTAGGTCCTACCATTCACGTGGATGTAATTTTGATGCGTATCACCTACCTAAACATTGTTGCTGACTAAGTACACCCCTTCATGGAAACAGTATTCCCTAATGGCAGTGGCCTCTTTCAGCAGGATAATGCACTCTAACACACTGCAAAAATGGTTCAAGAGTGGTTTGAGGAATAGAACGATTTTGAGGTGTTGACTTGGCCTTCAAATTCTCCAGATCTCAGCCCAATCGAGCATCTGTGGGGTGTTCTGGCAAAACAAATCCAATCCATGGAGGTCCCACTTTGCAACTTACAGGACTTAAAGGATCTGCTACCGACGGCTTGGTGCAAGATACCACAACATACCTTCAGAGCTCTAGTGGAGTCCATGCCTTGAAGGGTCAGGGCTGTTTTGGCAGCAAAAGGGAGACCTACTCGATATTAGGCGGGTGGTCATAATGTTATGGCTGATCTGTGTATATATGTATATTAATCCCAACAAATTGTAAACTGCAGCAGAAAGAATGAAGGCAAATTCTAAATATTTAAGACTGCATAAAGCATTCTAATAATAGGACATAATTAACAAAACTTACATATCCAGGATAGTGGACTCCATTCTGTGATGACATATTAAAACAAAAATACAAATCATCTAAGTATTAGATACATTAAAACGATGTCCATATAATAATAACATTTTCATAGAAAACGATCCAATTAACAATGATCACTTGAAGTTTACCTTGCCAGGAGATAGGCAACATTAAAAAGGGCCATTTGTAATGTAACTCTGTAAGAGTTGATAAAAAAAATGTGCCAAAGCATACCAATGTGCAAGATGCTCAGGCTGCTTCTTTTATTATTATTGTTATACTAGAGGGAGATTAAGCAGGTGGTGGTGGACCCTGTAAATGGCAGTCCATCTAAGCAAAGACATGATAAGGCTTACATTTCCTGAACAGAGGAGGATAATAATCTGTAAACATCCTGCTATAATCCTTGCAATGTATATAGCAGTATAAATCTCTGTGATTACAATGAGACGCACCAACTTTTCCATTGATACTAATAAATCAGCCATTAAAAAAAAGGTAAAATAGTCTATTTGTTTGACTTACTTGATCCTGATCCCATTCAGAATGTATATCACTGTATCCACCTTGTTTTGTTTATTCATATGGTTATGGAGACCTATTCTGTAGTCTCGATTTACATTTTTGTATAACTAGGTTACTTTATAAAAAGGAATGTTTGCTCCAATAAAAATATCTTGATATAGGGACGTATAGGGAGGGGTGGTCACCATAAAAACTAAAAGAACCAGCTCAAATACTCAAACAACCATCTGAAGAATTTTTCTGCCAACACTAGCATCAGAAGAGGCAGAAACATCAACTTTATAAAACTTTGCAAAAGTGTGAACAGAAGACCAAGCTGCAGCCTTGTAATTTCAGTAACAGAACGTCGATTCTGAAAAGCCCAAGAAGTACTAACTGCCCTACTACAATAAGCAAAAACAGGAAAAGAAAGAACTTGATAACCTTGAATGACAACCTGACAAATCAACGTAGAAATAGCAGATCTCGAAGCTGAACAACCTTTTCTAGGACCTTCAGGTACAACAAATAAAGAATCAAAATGCCTAAAAAAGGGACCTGTGGCTGACAGATAACTCTAACATCCAAACAATGAAGATACATTTCCTTAGGATGAACAGGAACTGGACAAAGTGAAAGTTAAAAAAATGTCTTTATTTAAATAAAATAACCTGATCTTATGAGGAACCAAATAGGGTTCTTCACAAAACAAAGCAGACATCTCGGAAACCCACAAGAAAGGTCCTTTCCACCCTTCTTCTAGATTTGCCCACAGGGTTCCTCTCCCTGACTAAGTAGCCAGCTCACCCTAAATTGTCCTGTAATATCCATTTCCTTCATCACATCTCACACCAGTTGTGCGCTCGTCATTTCAATCCTTTTTTAACAAGAAAGGAAACCTTTTAACAAAAAGGCAAAGAAATGACTAGATTGGTTCAAAAGGAGGAATGAAAAAAGGACCGACAAGGCAGATATCTGTCCCTTCATGGTACAAGCTGAAGGAAATACAACATTTGCAATATAGAAAAAGCACTTGGGGAAAACCCCAAGGACTACCACCAATGAAAATAAACCTTCCACGTACAGTGAGAAATCTTACAAGTAGAAGATCTATGAGCCTAAAAACCCATTTTCAGGTATTTTGAAAAAAAAACATATGCCAGGAATGTACACCGAGTGTAGATGAAGCAGGCATATTCAGTTGCTGTATACAAAACACAGAAATTTACATTTTTTGGTAGCTTTCGTCTTGATATCCTCATGGAAATGGCTGCTGTGCAAGCAACATGTGTGTATATTACAACAGAATCACAGGGAGGGGTGCAGCCGTTTGCAGCTTGCATTACAATCTGACCTCGGTGTCAGACTGAGTTTCCTGTGCAGAAAATATTGAATTTCTAGGATTCAGGCATTAAATGTTCATAAAAAATGAAGAAAGTCTGCAATGTGAGTCATGAAAATGTGCACACGTATACAGAACATCATCACTGCACCTCTTCATTACTACAATTAATGCTAATCACTGACAAAAGGTGGAAATGGACTTTAAGTTCAGTCAAAATAATAGAATCTGAAATTCCTTTGTCTTTCCACAGCCTTGTGGTTTAGCCAGAAGCAGGGTGGAAGACCAAAAAGCAGAGTGGAAGACTGTGCCCGGAGAGAACAGTAAACAAACTATTCTAGAACCTTCAGGCAGAACAATATAAACTAAAATAATAAAACCAGAAGAGAAGAAGGACACATCCACCCTCCTGAGGAAAACTGGCAGCTGTGAGATGGCAGGGGATTTTGTCCTTATAGTGTAAGGCATTTCATTTTTGGGAAACAGCATCACCCTACATCTCAGAATTCTTCAAAGCTGTGTGCGTCAATGGACGATAGAGAAAAAAAATTAGATACCGCAACCACCTGCTGCAGAGAGCAGAATAATGGTTAAAAAATAAATAAATAGCAGGATATCTTTGTTCTCCCCAATAAGCAACATGAAATTGAGGGCAACTAAGAAACAAAGGAAGTAGAGCCGAAAGCGCTCCGTCCACCTTCACCGCTGATATCAACGCACTACACTGCTGAGGAAACTTGAAAAATTGGATTGCGCATGCAGTAGATAAAAACAAGTGCGTCATCAAATTGAAGTTGCGGCTTCTTAAAGAGGCGGGGGCGGGGGAGAAATAAAATAAAATCAGACGAACGCCACATAAAAAGGCTTTTAGCCAAATAGGAGTGTAAAAGCACACAGACAAATAAAATAAAATGGAGGGGAAACACCCAACTTTATAAAACATTAGGTAAATAAACATTTTTCTTTTTAACTCATGTCTTTATGGTCCTGTTCCCGACATAACAGAAATCCCCAGGTGATACTGGCCTGACCATAAAATGATGAAAACAGGAAGAGAGGACCACCGGAGGACAAAACATGAGCACTGAGACCAGAAGCAACCCGCTTCATGACATCTAGAGAAACTCCCAGGATTAAATTTATCCGGCATGAATCTCTGTTTAGTTGGCTAGCTGGAGAGACTTCCAGGATTTAATAATATCCGGTATGAATCAACTAGCAGCTCTTAGTAGTAGAATCTTCAATGAAGAAACAAAATAAACTAAAATGAAAAACCAGAAGAGAAGGATAGACAAAGAAGGAGACATCCATTCTCCTGAGGACACCAAGCAAAACTGGTAGGTGTGAGGGGTTATGTTTTTAAAGTGGCAGGCTTTTCTTTTCTTGTCTACTGCCCATTTCTCCTGGAGGCAGCAGCATAGCCCTATGTCTCATAACTCTTCACAGCTATGTCTGCCAGTAAAAAAGTTTGTTTTTTTACTTTCTCCAAAACTCATTGAAATTGTTGGCATTTGCCCTCTCAGATTACCAATAAACAGGTATTTTGGGCCCACTTGAGAGCCGATGGGGTTCACATAGCTACTTGACTTTTGCCAATGCTATTCAGTCCAGTCTAAGAAGTCCACTAGAAACTGTGAATCTCTGACAGGGCAAACAATGCTAACCTTGTCAATGTATAGCCTAAGGCAGCTGATCAAGATAGGGTCCAAGGAGACTGACAGACACACAAGTTTGTTTTCCCTGTAGAAATGCTGAAGGTAGGAAACCCCTTGTCACATGACCGAAGGAGTGATGTCACTGCTCTCCTTAAGCCTTCAACACCAGCCAACACTAGGCATTTCAGTGCTGGCTGTGACAAAGGCAGGAGCAGTGAGGGAGAACTGAAAAGAGGAGTATCAGAGGTTCACGGGCTTTTATAAAAGGACACTTTTCACTTTACCTAGAATGGACAAGGGGACTGTGTCTCTTTAAATACATCAAGCTTCCATAAAGATTAAATGCAGGTACATTTATGATGAACAACATAAACTTTGCCCAACTCTGAGCCAAAAACCCTAAAATGGATTTAACAACTGAAACCCTTTATAATGGAACAAAGGCCCACAAACAGTTGAAAACTATTGGATAATGACTGATGTATAACTTCTTACCACTTGTGGAACAGGAGCTACAGGGGCAGGATTCCATGTTGTGGAGGTGCTTGTTCTGGCTTGCCAGTGTGTCCCACCGGTAAGTCTCTTCTCAGTAGGCTGATTCCACTGCATGTCAGATCTACAAGAGCAGTAACAAATACTTAATTTCTGGTGTGTTATTAATCAGGTTGAAAGTCTCAAACATCACATAGTCCGTTTTTAATAATGCCCTTAACTACATTTTATTGAATTGATACGAACAAATGTGCAGCTACATCAAACAGTATAGTGTCTCAGCACAACACACTGACAATTCAGAGCTCCAACCACAACTTGTCTACAAACATAGTGTTGTCCTTTTTTCTGCATGACCCAACATAACCTAAATGCTGGCTTCACACTCTAACTCACAGTACAATGTGCATTGCAGTGCCAGTCATTTAGAAAATATGCACACAACACATACATACAATAAGCTGCCAATGCACCTGTACTTCAGTGCACACATATACTATGCATATTGTTGTGCTGCGCTCTCGAGAACACAAGCTGTATGGTTTTTTTTTGGGTGTACTGCCAGCCCATTTAAAATGAATAGGCTAACTTAAAGCAGCAATCCTCAGGACCCAGAAGAAACCTTGCTGAAGGTAATCCTTGAAAAAAAAACTATTCTACATTTTAAGTGAACAGAAGAACAGAGTCCCGTTACCAAGGCCTTGCAGCAATGCCAGGTAGAATGCACCTAAGGCTGTTTTTAAACAGTACACTTAATGCCTAGCATTATGGAACTTGTTCTCCATTCCAAACTATACCAGAAAAATCAACATTCACTCCGTTTTATAATGGCATACACTGAGTGGCAAGATTATTATGACCAACCCATCAGTACTTCGTTGGGCCACGAGATAACTACGTTGGGCCGCCTCGTGACTCCACGAGATGTTGAAAGGCGATGCGAGGAATCTGACACTGCACTGTTGCCCTTCTGTTGTCTTGTACCAGTCTTGCCACTCTCCGTTCTGCCCTAACATTGACTAGTCGCTGACGGCCACAATTCGCACGTTCAGACCCAGATTTTCGGCTGACAGTCCAGTCTTAAACACTTTAACAACAGGTGCTCTTGAACATTTAACGAATTCTGCTGTTTTGCCGATACTGGCTCCATGGCTCCGAGCGCCAACAATCATCCCACGTTCAAAGGCTGTGAAATCGCGTTGTTTCCCCATATCTTCAAAATCACTTCTACTGTCGTGGTAAACAACCTGCTTCCCTATTTATAATGGTCTGGCCCTCTAGCAACTTCAGCGCGAAATTATAGCTAATTTGCCTACAAACGTCAGGTGGTCATAATAATCTGGCCACTCAGTGTATATTCTTTTAAAAACAGCATTTCTTAGTCAATTCAGGAATTTCACTTAATCCTGACACAGTGAGCAGGTGTTACTCTGTAAATGGTCCAAATACTCCGTACAAAAGTTTATTTACCTACACAATAGAAAGATAGAAAAATATATGCTCACCTCTTTGATGGTGTTCCGCCAAAACCGAGATCTACAAAACCAGAACATAATTATTTCATTTATAGAACAACAATACAAATGACAATAAAATGAACAGTAACCCCAATCTCTCTCAAATTCATCTGCTAATTGGGAATACAACTATGCAAAACTTAAATAATATTAATTCATTCATTCTTACTAATTTAATACAGCCAAAAAAACCTGTCCCAAAGTAATGGGAAAAAATGTGCACAAGCCACTATTGAAGTTAGTTATGCAGATTAGAAAAAGAAGAGTAGTCTCCAAAAGAATTTCCTCTGTAGCTTAGTAGATTGAATCAATTTTAAAGTATAGCTAAAGCTGAAACCCATGTACACAAATTTGGACGGGCTAAATATGCTTGTTAGCAATTATATTCTAGTTTTAACTACAATACAGGTAATATTATGTGGATGTCTGCTTTTTGGAACAAATTACATGATTTCTTTTAAGCATAGTGGCCTACAGCTTGGCTTTGTATACAATTCTCCTCATTGTCCCTAATTGTCAAATATGTTTTCTAAATAAAAGGAGACAACCACTTACTTCCCACTAGATTAGCAAGCGAGGAATCGAGATCATTGGCCATAAACCTTCCACTCTGCTGGCCTCCAGATACAGACCTTTGGTCATGCTGAGAAACAGTTGGCAGCAATACATCATCTGTGAAGTAGGTAGCTGAAAGGGAAATTAGAATGTCAATATTTGTATGTAAAAGAACAGTAAATTCCTAATGTTTGTACAAATGGAAATGGACCGTATCCAGCCATGAAATGAACTTCTTACTGACACTGTGCCTGGAAGCAGCTGAGAAATACTCAGATGGTCCTGTTCATCACAGGAAATTGTCTATAAGGACCTCTGTTAGGCCCCATTCACACAGGAAATCGGCCTGCGCCGTACCAAGCAGCTGCCGGGAAGGACAGGTGCTGCGTGTGATTAGTACGCAGCCCCCCTTCCTTCTCTATGGGGCTACGCGGCCGTACGCCCCCCACGCTTACCTCAACTGCAGGTCCGTAGGGGTGCAGGTTTTTTGGCTGGGACGCATACAGGCGGGCCAGCGTAGGGGGACATACGGCTGCGTAGCCCCATGGAGAAGGATGGGGGCTGCGTACTAATCACACGCAGCACCTGTCCTTCCCGGAAGCTGCTTGGTACGGCCCCGCACGCAGCACGGAGCTGTACGTGCAGGCCGATTCCTGTGTGAATGGGGCCTTAAGGTTTTAATTTATTCAGGTCATAGATTTGGTAGTAGCATTTTACCCACAGTCAATTGAAAATGTTTAATATTGTTGAAGACATTTCACTACTCATAAGTGGCATCTTCAGTGATGCTGGTTTCCTATGAGGATAAACTCAGGAGCACTTAACAGGAGTTAAATCAAGTACACTAATAACAGAAATGTATCTTATTTGTGTATCACTCAGCTGTAGATCCTCAAATCATCTCTGAATTCATGCAGACACGGTCCTTCCCTCTGGAGGGTGGCTACTTTTCTTCCCCATGGTCCCTGTGTGTGGTGTAAAGTAGCCCCCACTCCAAGCTCGCAAATGTGATGGACTACAATCTAGGGCTGTTACGGATTAAAATTTTCGTGTTCGATTAATCAAATTTTTTTTTTTTTTAAATCGATTAATTTTGAATAATTATAAACACACATACAGATCCAACTACATTGGCCTATACACATACAGCACAGCAATGAAGTAATAAAAGGAACTAGGATCACACTAATCCAGCGCGTTATTAATCTCACGTGCCCCACTCGATATGGCCGCTGCTTGAGTGGGGCAACACAGAATAATAACGTGCTGGATTAGCGTGTTCCTAGTTCATTTTATTACTTCATTGCTATGCTGTATGTGTATAGGCCAATGCCTTGGCTGGCGCTCGTGCAGAAAGTTTCAAAATTTTTTTTTTTAAATCGATCAAAAAGATTAACGATTAAATCGAGAAATTAATCGTTAATTTGCACAGCCCTAAATCTCAACACAAATTACTAAACTAACCATTTACAACATACACAGGGACCATGGGGTAGTAGTAGTAGCCACCATCCAGAAGGAAGGGCAGTGTCAACATGAATTCAGGGATGATGCACAAATGAGATACATTTTTGTTAATAATTAAGGTACTTAAATGCATTTTTAAGATTTAACTCCTGAGTTTAGTGTCACTTTAACTTTGATTAATACAAAAGAAAAATGTTTTAATTCCTGATAACTCACCAATGACATAAACACCAAGTTCGTCACGAAAGAAGCATGCAGCAAAAGAGAACAGGAGACATTTTTTAGAAGGTTAGGCATGCCTAAAGTAATTATATTCCTATACATGTATATGATTAGTAACCGAAGTTATCTTTACCAACTCCAAGCAAAATGAAATAACTACTAAACAAGAAAAGAAAATGTTACGTCTGTGTTACTTTTTCGTTATACACATCAGCTAGAATATTTCAGATAAGAAGTAAAAATGATGGTTGGCATGCTATTTTATTAAAATACTGTAAATCACTTCAAGGCTTGATTCACTAAAGTATTGCCTCCTAAAGGGTAATTTAACTTTCCCAGGTGAATTCGGGAAAATGGAATTACCCCTCCAATCTGGCCCCTCTCCCCTGCTTTGGCTGAACGCTCCTTCCCCTGAGCAGGTGCCAGTGTACTATCCGTACTCAGACAAGAAAAACAAATGGCAAAACACACTCATCAATTCATAATCAGCTTTAAAGCACAGTGCATATGGAAGGACTTTAAAAACAGTACAGCAGCAAAAGGTTTCCCAGCACACTCACCAGCCAGCCTGCAAAAAAACCTATCTAACTACTAAGGGTAAAAACAGAGGTTTTATTTGCACATCTTCTGCAGAATATGTGGAAGCCGCACTGCCTCTTCAAGGCCCCTCTGTGTAGTGTGGTAGTAACTCTAATCTATGAGAGCCTATCATTGTAAGGTACCAATTTTTATAATAATGAGAGTATAAAAATATATTTAAATATATAATTATGTTACATTTATTCATGTTTTTTTAATTTAATATAAAGCATTGCGAATTAATCTCGGTCAAAGAGTGACAGCAAGAGCAGTAAATACCGCTCTGCTCTCACTGTCAGACACCCGATCCCTGAAAGGTTAACTCTTTCACTAATGGATGTCTCAATACTGAGGCATCCATTAATAAACGGTAACCACTGATTCTCATCTTTTACCGGCATTACAAAGCCCCGAATAGCTGATCATGTACAGTGTACATGATCAGTAATTTGGGCACTTAGTGGCGGGGACGTACAGTGTCCGTCGCTCCAGTGACTGCTAGGGAAGCAAAGAGAGGGGCAATGAGTGACAGTCACTGCTCTCTGCTAGAGAAAGAAATGTGCACTGATAAATTAGTGGTAACATGACTGCTTAGCTCTCGGTGTTAGAGCTGATGTGGGACAACTACACTGCCCAAGGTTTGCGCTAAGCAGTGGAAAGAGCACGTTTCACTCTCCCTGCACATCTTTAAATTAAGTGTTTCACTTTTAAATCCTCAGATAATGGCAAGAAAAAAAAAACATATTGGCAAGGTTGGCCACACAGATAAAATCCTCCAATCTAATCTAGGGCTGAAAAAACTAAATCGATAAAGGTCGATTCTAAATGATAATGAGAATCGTTGTCAACAATTCTCATTATCGATTAGTTGATTTTCGATTAGTTGAAACCGCTGCCACTGTGCTCATTCGCTCTCCTCCCCGCTGGTGCTGAGTGCAGCGGTACGTGTCCCTTTTAATCCCCGCCTGTGTCGGCAGAGGCGACACAGACCACTGCAGCTGGCACCAGTGGGGAGGAGAGACTGCGGTGACTCTGCATTACTCTGCTGCCCCCCTCTCCCCTCCACTGCTGCCCTGTTCCTCCTCTGCAACCTCCCTTCTCCCCCCCCCCGTCTTGCCTCCACTGCTGCCTCGTTCCTCCTCTCTGCCCCCTGTATCTGACACAAAACTCACAACAATAGATTCATCTATATCAATCAGAATACTTTCAATGTCAGACGTGTACCGGAAAGTAATTAAAAAAGCCAACAGAGATAAAAGCTCAAAGTGCATAATTTTCTCTCCAAAAATAAGCTTACATACCAGGTGAGCGCACACACATCTAGTATTTAATTAAAAAAAAGGTGCACAAAGTTTGTTCCTCTTCAGGGCTGCATACCCTGCACATACATAAATGTTAAAAACTGTCTGAAAGATGAACTGCCTCCATTGCACATAGCAGTTGATCAGGTTATTCCTTTCATCTTCCTGTTCTTGGGTAATGAAAATGAGACTTAACTAGCTGTTAGGGACAGAGACAGTTGCGATTTCAAGCACAAGTGCACAAAAGACGCAATGGACTCAGTTCAGGAAGCTATAATATCTGTTTTATTTTCTGTAGCAAGTATTACAGCTCTCACTACAGAGAATAAACCGTCATTAAGGCGAATATTGTTTCTTATAGTTTAGTGAACTGAGAATATTGTCTTAAGTCTGTTAATAATTTGGTTAAGGTGGATTCAGATGTCTGGCATCTGTTTTAAATAAGGCAAGCCACAGCAGAACCTGGCATATTATGACCATACTAAACAGGCAGTTATCCAATGACCATATTCTCCAGCTCAGATACACATTATAACATTGAGGACTATCACATAATCACATACCATTTGTATCTCCAATTTCCTGCATAGTAGATTTTGCTCCAAACACAGCATCAAAATCCACATTCATTGCTGTAGATGTGCCGACAGAATGCAGAGGGAAACCTAAATTCAGTAACACACATAAAATTAATCTGTGACAAACAATAAAAATAAATATTCTAGTATAACAAGATATTGCATATTGTTATAAGGCCTCATTCACACGACTAACAGCGGGCCCGTACAGATCTGTGCTGTGTTCACGGCCGTATCAGGCCGCTCCCGGGAAGGACAGGTGCTGCGTATGATTGCACGCAGCAGCCTGTTCTTCTCTATGGGATTACGCAGCCGTACGCTCAACCGGGTGTCCCTGCTCGGACGCAGATAGGAACCATCCGCGCGGACATACAGTTCGGGTGAGCGTACTCCCATAGAGAACAGGCTGCTGCGTACAATCACACGCAGCACCTGTGCTTCCCGGGAGCGGCCTCGATACGGCCGTGCGCGCAGCGCCGATCTGTACAGGCCGGCTGTTAGTAGTGTGAATGAGGCCTAAGGGCAGGTTAACACCATTTTCCGGACCAGATCGGGTCCGGAAAATGGTGTGAACCTGCCCGCAGTTCCAGTGCATTCCAGACCAGACAACTAATGAGACATGCAGTATTTTTCTGGTCTGGAACAGACTGCGCTGGTGTAAACAGAGGCCAGAAATAGCATAGGGATACATTAGGATGCATTTTGGGTCCGGAAACAATCTGGTCTGGTCTGGTCTGGAGATGATCTGGATGTGGTGTGAATCGGCCCTAAGGAATAATGCCTTTAAAATGAATTACAACCATTAAGAAACATAAAAAGAAATAAAAGCCAGTTTATACTAAATGTATCTGAATGGCTGTTTTTAAACCATTTCCTGCCTCCGCAATCGCCTGCTCTATACTTAAAGATTTTGTCCAAGTAGCCAAAGTCTAGTATCAAAAAGGAAAAGAGAAAGTTGGGGTTTTTTTTAAGGCATAAAAATGACAACTCCAAAGACTTGGGAGTACGTGGAGGAGGCTGTATGTATTGACGGTAGGGACGAAACCTGCCCGCAGTTCCAGTGCATTCCAGACCAGACAACTAATGAGACATGCAGTATTTTTCTGGTCTGGAACAGACTGCGCTGGTGTAAACAGAGGCCAGAAATAGCATAGGGATACATTAGGATGCATTTTGGGTCCGGAAACAATCTGGTCTGGTCTGGTCTGGAGATGATCTGGATGTGGTGTGAATCGGCCCTAAGGAATAATGCCTTTAAAATGAATTACAACCATTAAGAAACATAAAAAGAAATAAAAGCCAGTTTATACTAAATGTATCTGAATGGCTGTTTTTAAACCATTTCCTGCCTCCGCAATCGCCTGCTCTATACTTAAAGATTTTGTCCAAGTAGCCAAAGTCTAGTATCAAAAAGGAAAAGAGAAAGTTGGGGTTTTTTTTAAGGCATAAAAATGACAACTCCAAAGACTTGGGAGTACGTGGAGGAGGCTGTATGTATTGACGGTAGGGACGGGCGTGTTTGTTCACTCTCCCTGCCTCCCCTGGTGATTCAGCAATCTGTTGATCTGAAAACCTCTACGTGCCAGTGTTTTGCCTACCTCCTACTGCTCCATCCCTGTCATCATCAGGAAGGACTACATGGGTGTGGTGCCCGGATGGTTCCGCTAGGACACATACATGTCAGCTTGTGATATTGATTTTCCCTTCTCCTGAAGAAGCGCCTGTGTGCGCGAAACGTTGAGTTACCGCTCCTCCACTATAAACCATACCATTTCTACTATGTACTGTGTGATGCTTCACTGCTAAAATTCTAACTAGTTCATACCTTTGCTTATTGTGCATTGCCCAAATGTTTACCATGTGCATCTATAATGGAAAGTTGAATAGAGTGAGCACATAAGGAGCAATCTAATCAGCTGTTTATTTTTATGCTATATACTAGCTCTTTTTTTTTAATTACTACCAACATTAAAACTCAATTTTTTATGGTCCACCGTTTCTTTGGAGTTGTCATTTTTATGCCTAAAAACCCCCAACTTTCTCTTTTCCTTTTTGATACTCCCTGTCATAGGGGTGTGGCATCTATAACCCAGATCCTGGCAAACCCTCTTCAGAATAGCCAAAGTCTAGGACAGGGGTGGCAAACTAATATTCATCGGGGGCCGCATCAGCAGTATGGTTACCCTCAAAGGGCCGGTTGTATAGGACTATGCATCTACTCTTTATTATCATAAATAGTTGCCTCTGCATTCAGTTGCTACTGGTTTTAATAATAATTTAATAACTAGCCTTGAAAACATCCACAAGAAACTTTATTGGAGACTGCTCAGACTGCAGCAGAGAAATAAGGATCGTAGCCAATAATGCTTGAAGAGCTGATTCAGTTAACTAATAAAATAGTACAAGAAAGATATTCACATTTTTTTAGTCAGTAACATCCTTAAACTAAGGAGCGTCACGATTAGGAATAGTCAACGCCTTGTTAAGATGAGAATTTGGAGGATCAACTTCCGGAAGAACAGACCATTTTTGTCATCCGGAAAAGGATACGCAGACAAAGCGTCTAGGAACCAGAAATTGCTGAACCAGGACTTCCCAATCCTTAAATAAAAACCTATCAAAAATAGGATGAAGTGGAAAAACCTTGCAGACACACTCCGGTTTATGTGAATCTAGACTAGAAATCGCAGAAGTAGAAATAACAGCAGAATCCTCTAATTATAAAGAGGAATGCAAAGCCTCAATTAGGAAGCCAACTGTTACTTCGGATGCTGAGTGAATCTGTCACCGCCCTGCTACTGCATCAATGATATGGCATAGTGTTTATGACAAACATACATTAGATGAGTTGAATCTATGTGCTATATTCCTTAATCAAGGAAGGAAAAAATGCATTCCTCAGGGACCCAGATGTCACAATATCCGGAAATCCGTGCCGGATTTTCGCTTTGCTCCCTGTTTCTGGGCTGTCAGCCTATGGTGTCTCACAAGGCTGCAGCCAATCTGCTCTCCTTCTCCCCTATTTAGGAGTTCCTCACTTGTTGCTCTTGGTGCGAGCAACAAGTCTTATGCCTTGTTCCGTACCCCTTCTGTCTCTGACTAACCCTGGGATCTTATTCCCTGCGCTTGCTATTGCGCTTGCTATTGGATCCCTGCGCCTTTGGCTTCCCTGTACCAGCTAGTATCCCTTTTTGGCGTTATCCCCTGCTTTTGCTCCTTAATTGCCTTCACCTGTGCGCCTCTCCATACTGCCTTCTTTGCCTTACTTCTACTGTGTTTTCCCTCTACAGTCTTTGTCTGTTTGCTGCCTCCTATTTACTGCTTGTTGTACTTCTACTCCGTCACTTACCTTCCAGTGTATCTTCCTTTGCTTTGCTGTCACCCCTTTATTTCTGTGCTCCTCTCTAACCTGGTGGCTGTGTTGGATTCATCCTTGTCTGCACACCCCCTGTGTGCATACATCCCTTTTGTGCTTCTTTGTGTACTTTTCTCTCTGTTATCCTGCTTCTTTGTATGCATGTGCAACGCACATCTCGTTTACTTTTGTACGTTGCACCTTCCTGCTCCTAGGTGTGCCTCTAAGCCGCTTACCCTTCCCTGGTGTCCTTGCTTATCTATTCTCTTCAGTATACTCTGCTGTTCTGCTGTGCGTTTGCACTTTTGCTTGAGACTTTCTCTCTCTCTCTCCCTCTTCCTGTCTTCCTCCTCTTGGTTACAAGTTTCTTCCCTACCTGTTTGTATCCAGTTCCCCGCTGCATGAACTAGTCCCTTGCGTCTGTGTGGGTGCGCTAGAGGGCCGCAACCTGGAAGGTGTCCAGCAGCCAATCATCCTCACCACTAGAGGCTCTGTCGAATACCTGGCCCTTCTTAGATTCTGCGCCTCTAGTGCGTCCTCAGAACGCACAGATCATTCGTTCCTCTCTCCCTGTGACCTACATCCCCGATATCCCGCCTCTTTGTGACTCCTACCAACTCCGCAAACACAGGAGCTCATGTGCCCTGGTCCCTAGACCGTGACACCAGATAAGTGTCACCAATGTCCAGCCGTTGTTGAAGAGAGCGCCCCCATTTGGCCAAGCTTTGAAGTACACAAAGTATAACAAACCCAGGTCCCTACAGCAATAGCTCAGAGGTCTTATAATGTACAGGCCACTTCTTACTGGAAGAACCAGAAACTTCAGTGACACCAATGAAAACATTTTTTTTTTAAAATCACAAGTTTCTGAATAAAAACAGTAAGATGCAGAGTAGGAAAGGAAACCATTTATTTCACACAGTGCCCTTCTAATGGCACTCGGTTTTGATAATTCTGCTTCAGATCCACACACAACAATACTCACGACCCTGACTGGTGTGATGTAAAAATATGAGGTACCACAACCACCTGCTGCAAACAGCAGAATAATCAAAGAATGGTAACAGTAAAAAACAAACAAAACAGGATCTCCGTTTTCCCCAATAAGCGACATTAAATTGGAGGGCAAATAAGAAACAAAGGAAGCTGAGCCGAAACCGCCCACCCTCACTGCTCTGAAGAAACCATAAAAACAGACTGTGCATGCTCAAATATGCACAGTAGATAAAAACAAGTGCGTCATCAAATCAAAGTCCCGACCGTTAAATTATGAAAACAGGACCACTGCAGGACAAAGCATAAGTACGGAGGCAAAAAGTTTTCATGACAACTAGGAAAACTTTTAGGATTTAACTTATCCGGCATGAATCAACTAGCAGCTCCTGGTAGTAGAATCTTCAACAAAGTAACAAAATAAACTAAAATAATAAACCAGAAGAGGGCACATGCATTCTCCTGAGGACATTAAGCGAAACTGACAAGTGTGAGGTGGGAGCGGTTATGTCCTTAAAGTGGCTGGCTTTTAATTGTCCATTTTTCCAGGAGGCAGCAGCATACACCTACGTCTCAGAAGTCTTCAGAGCCCAGTCCCTTAATGGACAACAGGGAAAGTAGTTTCACCACAGCTGAAGCGATCAGCAGTTAAGAAGCCACTGATTGCAGCCGTTCATTAAAAATCTTACTGCCCACCTCCCTTATCATTTTACAGTATAAGTCTTAAACATGTTCCTATTGTAAGACAAACATGTGAAAGCGTAGCTTTTGATAAAACTCTTCAGCTTAAAATTTTAGCGAGTTGTTTACCGCTTATATGTCCCACTGATGGCTTAGAAGCAAATGTGGAAGTATCGAACTGGGGTGTGGACTTAACAACTTCCTCAACCGGCTGCATGTCGAAGACGTCCAAGTGTGGAGGTGAACCAACGCCATTGGATGAAGAGAAGGGCCCTTAAAAATATATTTCAAAAATGTGATAATTTACACGCAAAACATTGTTTTGAAAACATGCTTGTTTGTATTGATGTGCTCATTCTATTGTGAAAAAAAAGAATACTAATTCAGTGCAGTTTTGCATTTTTGTGTTCCTCTTGTCAGCAAATAATCGTCAATATAAAATAACAAATTATTTTCCTCTGAGTGAACCCTCCAATAAAAATAAATAAGCTATGCACCACTATCGCCTTAAAAAACAAATAGCCAGGATTGATAACCTCCTTCGGAGGCAGGCCTTAGAGTAGTGGGGTAATGCTTGATGGCACTGTATGAATACTTGTTTATAGAGGGAGCATTGTTTTGCGTGCTTCATCCACCATGTATATGTTAAAGGATGGACTGTTCTGGCTGTGATCAACCACTGTGTGGTATGCCTATGACTTTGAAGTGATGATGTTTGTTTTACAAATTTTAAAAATGCTGTAAATTTAATAAAACATTTTTGAAAAACAAACAAAACAGGTCTGCTTCTCTTCAATTACCTTAACTGTGGTACCAAAGACTGGGTCAGCCTTAACCAAGGGACACAAAAAAAGGCCGACTAATAAAATGTACCTTTCTAGGAATTTTCACTAGTACTTGATAATATAGAGAGAAAAAAAAACCACAATATTTTCTCAGTAGCAGACTGGGCTTAGTGAATAAAGCAATGCAAAGATTTGTAAATGAAAGGTTTAGCAGCCCAAAGCAAATAAAGATTTCGGTTTTCAGAAGTGAAAACAGATTAATTCTAGTTACTACACTGACACTTTTTTGTTGACAGATAGGGCAAGTCCATTTTCATAAAACTAAAAATAACTTCATTGTAAGAGTAAGACTGCAGCGATAATACATGTATTTGAAGGCATTTGTTTTAGTCTAAGATAGCGTAAGAAATGGTTGGACTCTTTGCCAGGTTTTTGTTGCTGTGTCTCCCTGCTTGGGACAGATTTTCACATGCAGAAGGTGATTGGAAATTAAAAAATTGAGTCGTCATCAGAGAAAGAGGCGAGTGGAAATCCTCCAATGGGGACACCTGTTCCAGTGACAACTCCATTCACTTTGTAGATTGAATTTCCTGATACGTCAGGACAGAGAAAATCTCCAAAGCGGGACACAGACAGCAAAAACTTGATAGGGGTTATAACCCTTCCCTATGCTATTTTAAACTTTTTAGGTTTACATGCAATGTTAAAAAAAGAAAATAATTTACATGCTAGTACAAAATATAAATTTGTATGCATTGCCTAATTCTAGAACTACATAAACATTACTCCTAGAAATAAACTATAAACCAATGTAATGCAAACAATGGGGGGGGGGGGACAAGAGGGGGG